AGGACGCCGAAAAGTTGGCAAAAATGCCTTACGTAATACTTGAACGGCCTCATAGCACAGAATTGTGTAATAATTGCTGAATCTAAGAAAAGAGAAAACATTTTAAAATCATAGAGACGCCAAGTTTGCCCAATTTAAAAGGAGCAAGATAACACATTTTTCTACCCCTCTATGCTACGAAACATCCACTGTATTAGCTCTCATTTCTACGCTCATGCACTCAGTAGACTGCACCTATAGCTCCTATTTTCCTCTCCTCCTCTGAAAACATTTTTTCTGTTTGATGTTTTCCAATCACTTGCTTGCCGACACAGTGATTTTTAGAAAGTCCTTTTTCCTATTCCCGCTATCTTCATAGCCAAGACAGGAGGACTGAGTTCTGAAAGTTAGAGGTTTATTCATACATCCCTCCAAAGTAGAAAAAAATATTATTCATTGAACTATTCTTTAGAGCGAGTAATAGATGTTTTTTAGAAAAACTGTGTGTCCATAGTTGCAACAATGGAGATGTTGCATGTGTGAGGAATTTGCAATTTGACTGTTGATTATTATGTAAAAGTTCGTGAGAAACACGATGGTGCCACTGGTTTTCTCTGAAATGAACTCCCAAGCTCAAAAAAAGCTCTCAAGTTGAGGCCAAAATGGAGGGGATATCCCACCCTACCCTGAGAGTCCACATCTACATCAAGACAAACTCTCCCTGCAAAGATAGAGAGCAAATACATTGACAGGGCTGCCACTTTATTTGGGGACTCCAAAACTGAAAACACGGCAACCCTGCTAATGTATTTTCTCCCTATCTTTGCATGGAGAGTTTGTTTTGATGTAGAGGTGGACTCTCAGGGTAGGGTGGGATATCCCCTCCATTTTGGCCTTAACCTGAGAGCTTTTTTTGAGCTTGGGAGTTGATTTCAGAAAAAACCAGTTGCACCACCGTGTTTCTCGCGAACTCTTACATGAGAATGAATGGTCAAATCGCAAATTCCTCACACATGCAACATCTCCATTCAATACATTCTTCCAGGGTTCTTCTTTACCGAGGAATACTGACCTTTAATATTCCTTGAAATGATTCCTTTGATTTCATTTTCAGATTCTGAATTAATTATATCAGTAACTTATAATTTCAGAGAAAGAGTCATGTAAGTGTTAATGTGACCGTTGCAACACATAGATCGTCGCTCCTCTGACGTAAGGGCGTATCTTAATTTCCACCCACGTGAGCCCTATTTTCCGTATAGCTTCATCCGTTCCGGGGCTCATGTGAAAATCGAGATACGCCCTTACGTCAGAAGAGCGACGATATATGTGTTCTTCTTAAAAGCTGTTATCCGACAAGAGCCTGTCAAAGTTTTATACATGCAAATTATTTCATCATGGGCTTAACAAGTAACTACTAAGAGGAACTTCCCAAGCTGCCGCCTCCGATTGGGCTGAAAAAATTCGAACGAACTCTTTGGATGAATCCATAAGGACAATGGTTTTTCTTGTTTTTTCCAATGCGCCCTGGAAACACCCCCAAAAAATTCCGAAAAGTCCGCTTTTGAGCGCGCGTCGACAGTGCGTGTCGGACNCCGGGAGGGCTGAGCGAGGCGAATTAGTGCTCCTTCGCCTCGCTCACGATCAGCCCTCCCGGCGCACACTGGGTGTCCAACACGCACTGTCGACGTACGCTCAAAAGCGAAATTTTCGGAATTTCTTGGGGGTGTTTCTAGGGCGCATTGAAAAAAACAAAAAAAACATGGTCCTCAGGATTCATCCAAAGAGTTCATACAAATTTTTTCATCCCGATCGGAGGCGGCAGCTTGAGAAGTTTCCCTTGTAAGGGCAGCATAATACGGAAGGAATAATATTTTACCTTGCAGGTCTATTTCGTCTAATTTCTTTCCAATAAATTGTGTTGCCATGCCGTTTTCAACTGCTAGCAGCAGTCTACTAACTTTTGTTAGTTCTCTGGCAGATTCGTGGAGTCTATAGTATTGACGATGCACGCGAATGTCATGGCCCATGTGCTTGGCCACCCAATCTAATTCGCTTTCTGAGAGGTCAAATATCTGACACACGGTCGCTACATGTTTCCGTAACTTAGTCCCTGTGACGTTACGAGGAGATGTAAGCTTCGGATCACAAGCTTCCACGCAGAAGTTAACACAATCGCAGCCTTTGAGGTGAGCGCTCAGAGGGTAGAAACGCCCAATAGTTGCGAACACGTAGGGATTTCCTTCGTTTATGCCGACTGTCTCTCTCACATTGATCAATTCATCGATTGCTTCTTGCATGGTCTCGTTCAAAATCGTCGGCACCTTGCTTCCTTTTTTCCCGTGAATGTCCACCACACACATCCTTTTGCACAAAACTATTTCCAACGGCGAGAAGGATTGCTTCAGTTCCTCTGTCGTTTGCTTGTCAGATCCTACTCGATTCTTATACTGTTCAATTTTCATCTTACTCGCTTCACCTGATCTACGTCTATTGAACAGTATAGTGGATGTTAAAAGGTAGACGGCTAATTTTCTGTAATTTTCGTACGTAGGATTCGACGTCAGACGCACTCTCGACTCTTTAATCGTCTTGTCAAGATGACCTCGCAAGTTCATGATGTCGCTCGTGAGCGGTAGTAATTCGGCTTTGTTGAACTTGCGTTCAAACACATTTGCGTGAGCTGTCGATGAAACCCGCACAGTCCATTCAGTTTTCATTAATGTCAGAAAAGCTTTCACTTTTTTGTTCATTATATCCGCAATTTCTGGTTCTTCGCCGAACATACGCAAGTAGGTACCTTGGATGATACAGGCTGCTTTCTGCAAGGAGGGTCCAACTTTTAAGACAAGACTAGGCTTCTGATACGCGTCTCTGTCCTCAATTCGTGAAGAGCAACCACATAAATTTTTAGCTGCAGCCACCAAATAATCAAAATTTGACGGATCTATGCAGTCGGTGAACGTCAAAAATTTTCCTTCCCTCAAAAGACGCATTTCCAATAGGAGTCTAGCTAAAATCCTCATGGTATCTCTGATTAAAGGACGTTGTGTGACATTAAATTTTTCATAAAGTCGAAAACCTACATTTTTGATAA